GCAAAGCAAAGCAAAGCAAAGCAAAGCAAAAGAGGGCAGCAGGCATCGGGGGATTTTCCCCGCATCCGCGCCGGTTGGCTGCCAGTGTGCCTGTTCTGCACGTTGGACAACGGCTTCTGCCTCTCCCTCTCGCCCAGCTGCATCAAGGCGGCAGCGGCGGCGGCGGCCCTCGAACCTCGCTCGCTGCCTCCCTCCCTGTCTCTCTCCGCAAACAGCTAGCAAAGGATCGACGCTTTGCACCGCTGCCCTGGCGGCGCCCCAGCTCGAATCGCGCTCGAATCGCCGCCCGCCATCCACTCGCTCGCTTCCAACCTCGCTCCGTTCCTCTTTTCCCCTCCCTTCTCCCTCCCTCCATCCTCCCTCCATCCATCGGTCTTGCTTTCCCTGTCGTTGCACGCTCAGGCCGGCGTCATCGACTGTCTCGACATCCATCCGCATACCATCATCTTGGAAACGGCCACATGTCTTCCGGCTTCATCGACTACAGCAGGCGTCGTCGCGCCTCCGGGCCCGCTTCGGAAACCAGCAGGGATGCTGCCTCTCAGCGCGGAGGCGCAGACCCCTTCGACGAACAAGACGCCCGTCCCCGCGATCATCTAGATACAGACACGGAGGCAGAGTCCGCCGCCGTCGCACAGCCCGCACAGCCCGCACCGCGCCAACAGGGCCCCTTTGACGATGCCTCCGACATGGAATCCGCCCACCAGCAGCCTCGCTCCCGCCCCGCACGCGTCGAGATCATGGGCGACCCCGGCTCACGCCCTTACCCGCATCGCGACGAGCCCGCCTTCTTCGACCCCACCTTCCCCAACTACCAGGACGAGGCGCCGCTCGAAATGCCCTTCTTCGACCACGTCGTCGCAGACTACGGCAACTACGGCACCTTCCAGCGCCTCCGTCTCAACTTCCGCCAGATGATCTCCTTCTTCGCCTCCACCACCGCACTCGGCTCCGTCCTCTTCGTCGCCTACTTCGCCTACTTCAACCCCTTCAAAAAGTCGCCCCCCAAGGCAAAGACGGACCGCGAGTACGAGCGCAGGATCACCGGCGAGCGCGGCTCCGGTAGACCCGCCTACTACGCCGAGTTCTGGGGCTACCAGTGCGACGAACACGAGATCGTCACCGAGGGCGGCTGGATCCTCAAGGCCCACCGCATCTCGGACCCGCGTCGAGGCGGCGCCGTCGGCCACCCCGTCGTCCTCCAGCACGGCATCCTCTGCAACTCTTCCCACTTTATCGTCAACGAGGAACGCTCCATGGCATTCTGGCTCGTAGACCAGGGCTTCGACGTCTGGATCACCAACATCCGCTCCAACTTCAAGGCCGGCCACACCGAGTACACCCGCTCCGACCCAAGATTCTGGGCCTGGGGTCTCAAGGAGCTCGCCTTCGATCTGCGCGACGTCGTCGACTACATCACCGCCGCCACCGGTCGCCCTCAGCTCGCCTACGTCGGCCACTCCCAGGGCTCCGGCTCCATGTACCTCGCCCTCAGCCCCGGTATCTGCCCCGAGATCGGCGACAAGCTCAGCTGCTTTGTCGCTCTCGGCCCCTCCGTCTATGCTGGCTCCGTACTGCGCAAGTTCCCCTTCTCCCTCCTCCGTCAGTTCCGCTCGCGCAAGTGGTGGGGTCTCGTCTTTGGCGTGCGCGAGTTCATGCCCGCCATCGGCTTCGCCCAGGAGTTCCTGCCCGCCTTCTGGTTTGGCCACATCGCCTACGTCATCTTTGCCTTCCTCTTTGGCTTCCACGACCACAACTGGGTCTCGCGCCAGAAGCCCAAGATCTTCCGCACGGTGCCCGTGCCCACCTCGTCCGAGCTGCTCTACTGGTACATGTCCGGCTTCTCCCACCGAGGCTGCATCTTTGACCCCAGGATCACAGAGCCTTGGTTCCCGCGCACCTTCCCGCCCCACTCCATCTTTTACGGCGACATCGACTTCCTCGTGCTTGGCAAGCCGCTCGTACAGAGAATCCAGCGCTACGAGAGGAACGTCGAGATGATCCACACCGTCGAGCTCCAGAACTACGAGCATCTCGATATGATCTTTGGCGTCGACGCTTTCAGGACCGTCTTCCCTGGCATCAAGGACACCATCCTGCAGACCATCGATCCCGAGGATCTCGCACCCGAAATGTCGGAGCGAGGCGGTCGTTACTAGATCGCTCTACGCCAGTCGCCGTTCCACTGTCTTTTCCCTCCCGACCCTCACATGGTCCTTTGCTTTCGTTTCTCTCCGCTCGTTAATGGTCGGGCCGCATGCGTGGCCCAGCCGCGTCCTTTACGCTGTACTCTGTGCTCTGTACTCTTCCCGTGCTCTTTCATCCGGAACGCTCCCTCACTTTCATTCTCTCTCTCTCTCTCTCT